AAGAAAAAAAAAAAAAACAGTTTGATGTATAGGGTTTACCGATATGAGCGTAAAAACCTTTTTAGAACCTTAATGAATAAAGGAAAAAAAGATAACTAAATTCCAACTAAATTTAATCAACAAAACAAAAGTATACAAAAGTATATGTTCACAACAAAATATTTTAAATCATAATAAATAAAATGTCTTTATGTTACAGGTCCTATCTATTCGGGCACATAAATCCTGAAACACAATTTAAATGTTGACAAGACATCTGAAAACTTGATCACTTACCAATTGTAACTAGACAAAATACAATTCATGGCAATGAAAAAAAAAGAAATTACTTTTAAACATGTATAAATATCAATATACAATGTATGATAAGTGTACCGATAAATATTAAAAACGATTCATTTTCATTTTGAAAAGATGCAAAAAAATCAAGATTACGGATCCTATATATACCAGTTCAAAATGTTTTTGGACATTGAGAAAAATATATTGCACAAAGGAGTCAATATTGAGCTTATCTATTTAATTTTCACTGTATGGTGCATGACATTAACTCCCAGGAAAAATGTCCAAAGACCATTAATATCAGTGAATAGAAAATAACTGTTGTTTATTTCTATAGGGAAAATAATGTAAATAACATTATCAACTAATTTATCCTGACCTTTTGAAATGTTAAAAAATAATTGAAATTATTAAAATTTAGTAATATACTGTAAATTTCTATTTTTTATTTAGAATTAGATCCAAGGTAAGATCACTCTAATTGCAGACAAATACCATAGAATCAGAACTCTCTAATGTATAGAGGGTTCTTCCATGAGATTATTATAATAATACAACAACGTATAATTTATAGCAATTAAATCATCACATACAGAAATTCCTCTAAATCAAGAAAAAAAACTTTTTATAATGAAAAAGAAGAATACAAATCAAAAGTTATAAAACTTATTTTACATGTAAAAAAGGACGCCTAAAATATAACGGAGGAAATTAATAACACGACAAGAAATAATTAATAGAAATTAAATCAATCAAATCAATAAATTGCTCAATAATATGTATTTACTTCCTGATACAATGCAAAATGAGTGTACATAATAAAAACAAAATGCTTCAGTTCATGTGCAAATTATTACACAACAAAATATAATCTAAGACAATAAAATAAGTCAAATTAAGATTAAATAAAGTCTTCTATTTTAAGTACAAAAAAAACTATATGAATAATTAAAAATGTGCACAAATAAAACAATTTAACACTTAATTCAAATTTTGACTGACATGAAGCCTAAACTATAATTATTATTATTGGAGCGAATTAAAGGACAACAGTTGTACAGGTAGTACCTCCGATAATAAACAAATTACTCACGTGAAGTGTTGAAATGTTTTGTTTTGCGGTAGGTCACAAACTGTGAGTGAGACTCAATTTCGAAATCCCTCAAAGCTTCCAACGCCTCTTCAAAATCTGAAAATTCTAAATTCATTATTTTTCTATTCAATTAAACTTCTCATGGTGACAACTTAACTAAACAATCTAAATATATATGAGCACGCCTTCTGCTTTTTGGTAAATATTGTACATCGAGCCCGATATGAAATAACCGATAAATTTAACTCATCAAAAGGTGACTTCACGCCATTGCAAATAGCAACCCACCCGCCGCTGTTTTTCCCTAATAACTCAGCAGGTATCCAGGTAAGAGAAGAATAAGAGTGTTCCAGACTAAGTTTCAAGCAAACTGTCAAGTAATTTTAATTACTATAGATAAATAAAAGTCATTCTACTAATGAAATATCATTCCAGAATTTCCTAAACTGAATGCTGCTTTAATCAGCTAATTGAATGGTAAAAATCAATATTTTTAATGTATTTTAATTTCATTTTTTATAAAAATTGTTTTAAATTTTCATATGACACCCCCTTCACTTTATAAACACAGTGTAACTGTATGCAGGGTCACTTGAGTTGCTTCCATAAGGATCACTACTGTCAGTACTGTGAGAAACCTGTGAACTTCATATTTTACAGTGCATCCCCTCTTTTCTGCTTGTATTGGTTTGGGCGTGAATATTATTCTTAATAATTAACCAGTAGAGCACCTGACTAGTGATACAGAGGTCCCAAGCTTGATTCCAAGTCCAGCCATGCATTTTCTCCTTTCATGTTCCTTTTCATTATCTCCTTAATTACTCATGCATGGTTCATGGTGAGATACTTTTGACTTGGTGATATGTAACCTCTAGCATCCATTGTAAAAATTCTTGCCGCTAAAACCTCAAGTGGAAATAAATTATTTAATTAAAAATTCAGGCTTTTAATATTAATGAATGACTTGAAACTATAAAATATTCACTATTTACGGTAAAACTTGCACCAGAGCTGTGGAAAACTGCCGGTCATGCCGGCACGACCGGCAAACAATGCCTGTGACCGGTAAAAACGCTATCGATGTCGGTCCACATGACCGACCTCTTTCTTTGTTAAAGGTTTTTGTTTTTCCATTTTGATTTAGGGCCTATCATCGCCGCACTTTCCAGCTTAATTATCGTACCTTAAATACGATTGCGCAATACTTTTTCTTTGCACGAGATCGAGGCTATAAATGAAAGTGAAACCAGCATTGTCTCACTGTGACCTTTTAAACTTACAGATGGGACAGAATTAGGTAGAAAACATAAAAAAAAGACAGGCTAAATACCTGGGTATGTAAAACATTTCGAAAAAAAAAAATTCAAACACAATTGAGGAAAGCGGTAAATCTAGTACTTCCATCGTTTCGACTGTCCTAGATTTCGGTTTTTTTTTTCATCAATCATGTTTATGATGTTGGTATCTTTATTATTGATGCACAAAATTTCTTAGACTCATTTTCAGGGTAAAATATAATTCCCAAATGCATAATGTTTTAAAAAAATATGTTTACTATGCAGATCGAATTATCATTGTCATCTGCCTGAAACAGCAAAAGTGATGAAATCTATAGTATATTGTTATAAAGGCAAAAAATGAAAACGGAGGTGGACTTGGAAATGGAGACTGAATGTTATTATTAAGTAAAGTGTAATAAAAAAAAATGTTATGATTTTCTTTTCAGTTTTGTAACTTACTATTCCGGACCAGCAAAAATCACTTCGGACCGACATATTTTGTCTTCTTGCCGGTCCGAATGACTGGCTACCTGAAAAAGTTTTCCACAGCTCTGTTGCACATAAAACACTCTAAATCTTTTGTATTAGCGATAAATCCATTTTTTTTTAAATCGAAGCAGAAATTGAAACCAGTGATCTATTTAGAATTTGTTTACTGCAACAAAAACTTTGTTTTCTGACTAGCAAATCCACAAAATAACATAAAGTCAAACCAGAAGTACTTCTGGTGACAAATTGAACTAATTACAATTTTGATTAAAGAACAATGATGCATACTGAATGAAAAAGATTTTATGATTTCTTTTGAATTTTATACCCTATGCAATCACGTAATTACTGAAAATTACTTGTTTTCACTTTATTTCACACATTATATGTTCTGCCCAAAATCTCAGGCGGAATGAGCTTGTTAGAAAATGGCCTTTGGAGGTAAGAGTCCAAGGTCTATAAGGAGCATAGGGATGTTCACTGAGGCTCTTTATTTGTAGGAGTACTCCTTAGTAAGACATTGATAGGATTTTGTGCATCAACCTATTCCATAATCCATAGGGAAAAATTGAAAGGGTTTAATGTATATTATCTATTACTTTCAGGACATTAAGTTATAATGGATGCTGTGATGTTCAAGACAAACTTTTCTACTAAAATTTTATCGCGAAAATCATTTCATTTTCGTTCTAGTAAGCATTGTGGCCCAAGGCCTCTTCATTTTTAAAAATTATCTTACTAGCTTTTGCATTCCCCATTAGGTAATTTTCCCTTTTTCACAAGAACTGATGCAGCTACCATACTGAAAAAGGTTATCATTATCAATGGAATTCCACCTCCATGAGCCCACTACTAATTGTTTTAAAACATTAAAAACATCTGAATCGCACAATAGAATACCCATCAAGATACCTCCCAAAAGTACAAAAAAATGAAATTGAATCAAAAAGGAGTATTTTAAAGTCTTACTGTTTAGTATCTTGTTTTAAAGTAGAGGTCTGTTCTTTCTTTAGGCAGTATTTGTGGTAGAACTGTAACTGCCACAGTGAGAGAAGATGCCTGTTAAGCTGGTGTATGGGGGGAAACTGACGGAGTCAGACCCCAAGGATTTCCCGGTGGTCATTGTAGGACAGCTGCCTCACCTCACAAGTATCACATTCGACGATGTCAAAGTTAAGCTGGAACCTAGAGTCAACAAAGAAGTAAGTACATCAATGTTGTTTTTTATTATTTTGTTTGAAGAGTCACTGGTATAAATAAGAATATATGCTATGATTTTGTTTATTTCAGACAATATTGTCTACTTGTTGACCATGACTTTGTATATTTCTGAATCAGACATTTTGCTGATGACCATAACTGTGTATTTTTCAGACATTTTGCCTTGCTGTTGACTATGTATATTTCAGACAATTAATAGTCTAGATATTGACTGTACATTTTAGACGTTTAGTCTAGCTGTGAGTAGCCTGCGACCCTCCCCTACTGATACTTGTCCCCTCTGGTTAAGGAATGCCACCCTAGCTGCCCTGCCCCTGAAGAGTAGCCGACACAATACCCCGTCTCGTGCTCATTCTTTGTCCAAACTCGTGAAAGGCTGTCTGTCTGGCCAGGATGAATTTGTTGTGGTAATGAAATTATGAAGCTTGTGTAATTCTTCAGAAAAAGTTAATATTTTTAAGTTTTAGTAGTTTTCGGGGATTCCTTTGAATTACTATGTATAGATCATTTAGCACACTAAGTATTTTATACGATAAATTCTTACAGTGTAATATATTATAGATATCAAAAAATTCAGTGAATTCAGCATTGATTATAAGTTATATTTTATCACAATATCCCTTTTGTAGATTGTGTGTGAGAGAAAGGATGTGTTCGCCCTGGGCTGTGCTGTAGCCAGAATTTTGCCGCTGTACTCGGGGAAGTCTGGACAGAGCTCTGTAGATTACACACTGACCGTGGACTTCCTGTTGGTGGGGCCAGACAAGGATAAGCCGCTTACTAAGGACGATCTTCACTGCTTGTCAGCCTCAGCTCATGGCATCAGACTTGCTGCAGAAATTGTGGATAAGCCATGTTCGCATATGAACACAGATGACTTTGTAAAGGTAAAAATAAGTGAAAAGAGGAAATTTAATTTTGTAAGATATTTACAATTGAAGTTACTAAGCACATTTTATATACACTTTATTAACATTAAAATTGCAAGTAATTTTTACAAAATTGCAGTTAAAAGTAGCATTTAAGAATTTTTTTCATTTTATTAGTTATTCTTTTTGCTATGCATGTTAAGTTAACAAATATTTTGATAGACCTTTTATCATACTTAATACTCCATTTTTTAGTTGTATTAAGTTTACCAATGACTGTTAATGTTTGTTTGATCTCTTATTTCCAGGAGGCAGAGACTGTTGCTAGGGAGCTTCAGATCACTCCCTATATTGTACGAGGAGAGGATCTAAAGGAAAAAGGATTTGGGGGTATGTAGATTACATTGTTATTGATCATGGTTTTAATAAGTGCATCTGAACCTTTTTTATGTAGATTTCCTTATTCCAGGTATTTATAATGTCAGAGCTACAAACACTGTACGTTTTCTTTGACCAGGCATTTATAATGTTGGAAGGGCCGCAGAACACCCACCGGCTTTAGTGGTGCTGAGCCACAAACCAGAGGGAGCCACCAAAAATATTGCCTGGGTCGGCAAGGGGATTGTGTTTGATACTGGTGGACTCTGCATTAAAGCTAGGGTAAGCTCACTTCTCAAGAAAAAAATTAAAATATGCTTGTAATCATATGTGTTTCTTAAATTTGAAGGGATAGTGTACAAGTTTCCTGACTTAAGTAGACTGGAAATGGTCTTTTGGTTTCCATACAGGAACTTGAGAATTTTACAAACTATTATGTTCATGTTTTGATCATATTATGATCTGATGAAGAGCTCAGATGGATTTACTGTAAATGTATTATATTTGGCGTGTACGATATTTAGCGGAAAATGATTTTTAAACAAGTTAGCGTAGATTTGATTTAGCGCATTTCTTGGTGTTCGTATTCATGTATCAATATTTAAGAATTTAGCGATGTACTTGAATTAGCGGAAGTATATTTCCGCTAAAAGCGCTAAAAAGAATACACCGTTAAATGTAATATGTTTACAGTATTTTAAATTCAGTGGGTCAGTGGGCATGGTTTCTGCTGCTTAAGTAATATTTTTTCACCTTTTGTGGTTTGTTTTGGTTATTTTTTTACATAAGAGAGAAAAATCTCATAGCCAAAATTGTGCCTATACAGTGCAATAACCATTGAGCAATTTGGGAAAAAATCTTGGTATTCAGTTTTGGTCCAGACTTGGACAGTAAATGAATTCCTTTTTGCTTGGATCATTCCTAATAAAATTTTTGAAATACATGTAGTAAAAAGTGTACACATGTACAATGGGGTCACATGCTATATGAAGGTACCAGGGCTCCCACTGGACCGAAAATGTTTTTCGCCACTTTTCGCGACAAAAGGAAAGGCATACTTACATCTAATTTCTCGACAATGCAATGCACTTTAATGTTATTCAATTTTTTTTTATTAATATGTAATGGTTTCCTGTTACAAATATATCACAGACATTGTTTTAAAATTGTAATGTTTAAAGCTTACAGTATCCATTTAAAAAAAGAAAGAAAAAGTACTGTTGGAATTCCCCTTGTTTAATCCAAATTATATTATTTCAAGCAATTTTGTAACCGTTTATTGCTCCAGGATAATTACCTAGTCAGCTGTGTTCGTTCAAGCGAGACGTGATTTCCTACATGTAGGTTTCAGTTTTCACACCTCTGCTGCATTAAATAAACAGAGGGACTTATCTGTATACATTAAATAAACAAAGGAGCTAATCAGGTCTACACAAAATTTGTACATGGTACATCTAAAAAATTCATTTTCGCCACTTATGAATTTCTTTTCGCCACTTTTGAAAAAAATTCGCAATTGGCGACAATGGCGAATCACAGCTCGAGCCCTGGAAGGTACTGTTTATATGTATGTTTTTCTTGAGATTTCTGACAGAGGTTAATCTTGTTTTTGTTACAGACTGGTATGTGTGGGATGAAGAGGGACTGTGGAGGAGCTGCTGGTATCCTGGGAGCTTTCTATGGAGCCGTCAAACTGGTATAGTGTATAGTATAGAACAATGTATAAATATCTATAGTTTGAGGCATTTCTTCCTGCAAACAATTTAACAACAAAAAGATTATTTACTTCTTTTATCACATTGGCAGGCCCTCCCATAACATTCTCACCATTTTCTTTTTTACATGTATAAGAGGTAAAATTCAGTCTTCTTGAATTCTTGTCAAAATGAGCTTAAATAGTTACTACATATATTAACAGGCATGTATAATTCATACAGTAGTTATGATTTTTCCTTGTACAATTTCTTTTTTATATATTTTAATCCTTCAAGTTTAAATGCATGTAACTATAACTTGTGGTGAAAAAGTGGAGGGACAAGGATACATTAGTTTATGGTATCATTAATATTTCAGGGTTTTAGTGAGAATTTACATGCTGTGTTCTGTGTGGCCGAGAATGCAGTAGGACCACTGGCCACACGCACTGATGATGTCTACACCCACTACTCGGGAAGGTAAAATGATCTTCAGATTTTATAAAAGGGCTTTATCAAGTAGTGTTTACATGGTATACGTTCAGCCATTTTGCAACTAACATTGACATTTTATGTTTATTACAGAACTGTGGAAGTGAATAATACAGATGCAGAAGGAAGACTTGTTCTGGCTGATGGGGTGAGTTCTATAATGTATTTACGTCGTACATTACAATATATTGGAAATTTTCCCTGTAATTATTTTGTTTTGTTCTTTATAATATATGTGATAAATCTACTTTCTTGAAGAAGTTAATATACAGATATTGAATACCATTAGGTATCCAAACATGAAAATCTTTTGGTTATAAAAAATTGTTTACAGCTTTTGTTTTAAATCTACTTTCTAAAGGTTGCTTATGCTAGGAAAGATTTGAAAGCGGATGTTGTTGTTGACATGGCAACTTTGACTGGTGCCCAAGGAATTGCTACTGGTAAGTGAAACAAATTATTTGTTTCCTTGATCGTAAGTTTTCCAATCGTTTATTTCCTGGTTGACATCAGAGTTTGTATGTGGTGATAGGTAAATACCATGGCAGTATTGTCACCAATGATGAAAACATGGAGCTGTGGTGCGTGAAGGCGGGACAAAATTCAGCAGACCTTGTACATGCCATGCCATACTCCCCTGAGCTTCATTTCCCAGAATTCAATAGTGCAATAGCGGATGCCAAAAACTCTGTGGCAGTAAGTGAGACTCCATTATAATTATTACTACCATATACAAAGTAAGCCAGTGTGAAAACAGCTCAGTCAGTTTACTCCTCTTTCATAGTACTGGCATGGCAATCGTGAATCAAGGATTTTGGCAGAACAGCATTTATTTTGAAAGAAAAAAACAATTATATAATTCTTTTAACTTTATTCTCTAAGGTTTAGTAGGGTTTTTTCTGGGATGTCAACGAATATTCGAATATTCGAATATTCATTCGATGAGTTGATATTCGAATATAAATTCATGATTCGAATATTCGTTTTTAAGTATACAAGCATTAAAACAGAGAGAAACCTGGCAAGTTTTATTAGAAATTAAATCAAGTTTGTAGAAAAATTTAAAATAAAATCCACTCTTCTTGGATTACCTTAAAGGTGTGAAAAGTGTATCTATTAAAGTACAGTGTAATTTATTTATTTGTTCACTTAATTAGTGGCATAATAGTGTCCAGTACTTACAATCAGTTTGTATTATGTAAATTAAGACACAGTTTTACAGTAAACACACAGACCCTTTGTTTATGTAAATATCATTAAAAATCATTAACAGGAAATTATGATTCGCAAAAAGTAATTGCTTTTAATATTTCATGCACGGTTAGATAATTGCTCTGATTGGTATAAGTTTGTAGGAGTTATCGGTGTACACTTTAGTAAGACGATCAATTAATCTGGGTTATACTTTATAGAATCTTTTGAATTTTCAAAAAACAATTATAACATTTTGAATATATACTATTCAATATTTTAAAAAAAATATAATTGCAGTGCATTTACCGAAGTCTACATGAGTTTTTTATTCCAAAATAATGCCATAAAACCTATACTACTTGACAGGATAGTGAAGATACATACATGTATATTTAATAATGCAAGATGTATTTATTTTTTCGAATATTCGAATATATTCGAATACTTCTATCGAATATTCGAATATCAATTATTGACAATTTTGACATCCCTAGTTTTTTCCTGTTCTCTAACAACAGAAATATACATTGTACATTTATACAGAATGACAATACTTTTTAGTAAGATTGGTGTGCCTTT